TGTTTTTAACTATCTGTTATTTTAGAAAAACTGATGATGGTGGAAAAATACACCGAAACGTATTTTGATTGATAAATAGAGAAAATAAATGACTGAAACCCAGGAATAAATTTGATTTGGAATTGAAACACAGTCAGGAAAGTATATACAATGAAGTATTTTTAAGTGAAACTCTACAAAATTAAGCATTTTTGAGTAGAAAGTAAAGCAAAAAAAATCAGTCAAACCTAAAAAACCACATTTTTTAACAAACTCGACAGTTTACGAATTGATTTGACGAGATTTCCAAATAATCTGTTACAAACTTTCGCTGATTCTGTTCGTTTTTCAATAGAAAATGATTTTATTTTCGTTCCAAATTCGACGCTGGAAAAGGATTTTAAAACTTTTTACAAAGCGACCAACAATTCGAAATTTATTTATTACTTATTTATTATTCATTATTCATGAAAAATACGTTAAGTTTGGCAGSATTTTTAAGTGAAACTTTAGAAAATTGAGCATTTAGACGAAAGACAGCTTGACTAAARCTGGAAAATTCGGAAATTTTKAATAAATTTAAAAAATATGATTAATAAATGACCCTTAAAATAAATCTAAAAACAAGTTACTGGGCCAGTTAATCAGGCCTAGTTGCATATGAGCAAAAAAAACCGTCCAGCTCACATTCTACCTGCTATTATGTGTTAAGACTTTGCTTATTACTGGTAAAAGATGCCTGTTTGAGTGCAAACAAATTAATCACTTTTTTGGGGGCCAACGTTTCGGCTATATTTAAACCATCCTCAGAGCTTCTAAAGACAAACGCCTAAACAGGTATCACCAATTAACATTACGGTCATCAACAATCTTGATTTATTTGTTGTACTTTACTATCCGTAAAGACCACAATGCACATATTGGGCGTTCTGAAATTCTGGAAAACAGGCGAGGGAGGACCAAATAATAGCAAAATTCGTGATGAAAAACTCTATTTATCTTCTGGCCTTTCCAACATGTAACTTCAACCAAGATTTGTCTTTACACCGAAACTTTAATTAGCTCAAAAAATAACTATGTCTAAATAGAGCTAAACTGTGATATATATACTTTTTACCTTACCACTAAAGTAATAGTATAGTATATTGCACAAGATCATCGCATTGTGTACTTCTATGTCATAGCTAGTTTACACTATACAAGAATGCTTTTGATTGCTTCAATAGAATGAAAAGTAAATAAGAGGAAAACAATCTCACAACAATAAAGGCAAATGATAAATGGTATCACCAGCATAAGATATAACAGATTTTGTACTCATTTAAAAAAATAATAAACAATAGTTCAATAAATATATAAAAGTAACAAGTAAAAATTAAATAGAAAAACATCACAATAGTTATAAATACAGTACAGAAATCGAACATTGATAATGTTACCAAATGAATTAAACCCTCGACGAGGAAATAAAAGTTGCACAATTTGGAGTGTTTTCAGATTTCATAATGCTCCAAATTCGGGAAAATGCTACACTTCCAGGTCTAGCAACCGAAATTTGGATTAAAGATTAATAAGTAAATATGCATTAAAAGGCGTAATCCTTTGGCATCGTGAAAGAGTAAAACTAAAAACAATGTTCACTAAAATATCCAAATTATGGTTATTTCAGATTATTGTTGAGCATAAGCCATAACTTTGGTTAGTGTGCTGTTCTAATTTAAAACGATAAATGCCAAAAGATTGCTAAACAAAACAATAAGAGTATTCGCATAACATCGGAAACTATAATTGATATGCATCACAGATTCTAAAATACTTATATACAAAAATGATCTATATTTACAGTTTTGTATGTTTTACTGTATCCGTCCAGTAATTTTGAATTGTCATGGCTTCCAGGCTGTTTAAGAACGAGTCATTATCTAAACTGTACATTTCTTCCGAATTATCCTGCAATCAAAATAAATTTTATTAATCACAATATATATTTTTTAACAGTCTACTGGTTGTAGTTGATGCAATAGAAAGCGATTTCAAGGCCCAAAAGTAGGACCACCGCCGTTTTTCAGAATACCTTGATGGATCTCTCGTTCGTTCTTTGCGCTTACCTCAAATAATTTAGTAAAAATAGTAGTACAGATAAATTAGCTTTAAATGATTCTCAGTCACAACACTTAAAATGCGTTACTTTGCCGAAATCCAGCAAGATAAACTTAATTATAAGTAACTGCTTACTCTTACTGAAGCATCATCGATATATCCGCTGGAGTCAGGATTGCTGCATCTATCATTAAGTACTTGAGGCCTGTTGAACCCTTGGTTATGGTAAACGAAAAAACTAATTCCGCAAATGATGCCAACAACGATTATGCAGCCTAGCGTTATTCCGGTAATGCCTGCAGCCGAGAGGTTTCCTGCAGTGTCTTCAAAGCCCAAGTCTTGCCCTTCTATGCCTGATAAAAAATCATCAAAATCATTTATTGCAACTCAAGTTTCAGCTAAATTTAAAAAGTTCTGACCTATTCTCTCCGACTGCACAAAGCTATGATTATAGCTAAGCTCATCTCCAAAGTAAGTGATATTTTCAGTGTGATTAGTTACACTGATGCTCTTATTTCCATTTGGAAAATTTGAAATGAATCCAGTGAAGTTTCCGCTTAACTCATGGTCAGTATCATTTTGGTTTATCACAGGTGAATCTATAGTGTTGTTTACACTTTCAGTTATGTTGTGTATTAAGGGAACATCTAGTGGCAGCCCATCTGGCCTCCGGGCAAATTCATGATTCCGGGCTGACGCATTTCTTGCATATTGAGAATTATTTCTTAAAACTATGGGACTTAGAATTCTGGGCGGAATTTGTGATACATTTCTTTCCGTACTATTCGCTTCAATCAGATTGATTGGCTTGGTCGTAGGAGACTCTGTGGTTGCAGGATTGGAATGTAAAGTGGTCAGCAAAGAGTGGCCAAAGGTAACTGCAAAAGAACATCCACATCAACTTCATAGCATTTACAAAAAAAACTTAATTTTTACATACAAATAATTCGAATCAAAAGCATCCTTGCTGAGGTCAAAGCGTTCACACCACAACAAAATCGACTAGTTGCTTATATAGTTTACACCACACTAAGGATACTCCTAGTTCGCTCAAACAGCAACATTTTATTGTTGATGTTAATTTAGCAAAACATCGCATTGTTTTAGGAAGCTGAACATGTCTCAGCTTAAATGTTTCCTTACTTCAATGGGTGAATAAACGGGGGGTCAAGAGAGTTAGAACTAATAACAAATCTGTATATTGCAGAGTCGAAACTATCCGTGAGTGGTAATTTTTGGGTAGTTCCTCCTAGGGTCAAAGATGCGGTAGAAGGCAAGTGAAATGGAAATATAATTGTTTTTATATATAATTCTATTACGTAAGGTGCTGGTTTTCCGAATATGCTTGTGAGAGACAACGTCATTCCCATTCAGCGATTTTTTGAAGATTTAATGAATTTAACATCATTCGATGAAGAACTGAGTAAATTGTGTGCAATTGGCTTCAATTTTAATCACGCTTTGAAAACTTTAGGATTCAAACAACGGATTAATACTAAATTTTCAATTAATTAGTGTACATTTCAACTGGGCAGATTTGCTAATTATTCGGACAGCATGCGAAATGTACATGCAACGAGATAATAAGGCAGTAATTACGATGAATCAAAATATACCAACTAGTAATTATGCAATGATAATAATAAAAGCTGTTTTGTGACTAATGCATTTTCCGGGCAAGGTAATTAAGTATAAATTAATACACTTAAAATTACGGGATGAACCTGAAGTCCGATAATTATTATATATAAATATAAAAATAGTTATTATATCAAAATATTATCTGAAAATGTCGATTATTTTAAATCTGGAGATTCTAACGTGTTTTTCAACCAGCTAGTTAAATTAATTGCTTCATTGAGGCGAAAATGATGTAAAAATCTAGGCATTTTGAAAGAATTTTAATTTTTTCAAAAAATCGATCTTATGAAATTTTCGGTAAAAAATAAAAATTTCACATGCGTGGTTTTTGCGCTCAGTGGATTGTTTCCGATCTAAGAAGCTCCCCAATGTGCATATATAACGTGTTTGAATGCGTAATAAGAAATATATCGTCGGTTAAAGATCGTGACCGCTTCAAAACTGCTTAACTGGGCCGAAAATGTCGATTATTTGGGATCTCAGGCTTTTAGCGTGTTTTACAACCAGATAATTAGATTATTCGTTTAATTCAAAAGAAATTGTGTACAACTGGATGCATTTTGAAAGAATTTTAATTTTTTCAAAAAATCGACCTACAGATTACAACAAGATAATTAGATTATTCGTTTAATTCAGAAGAAATTGTGTACAACTCGAGGCATTTTGAAAGAATTTTTATTTTTGCAAAAAATCGACCTCTACCCCTTATGAAATTTTCGGTAAAAAATAAAAATTTCACATGCGTGGTTTTTGCGCTCAGTGGATTGTTTCCGATCTGAAAAGCTCCCCAATGTGCATATATAACGTGGTTGGATGCGTAATAAGGAATATATCTTCGGTTAAAAATCGTGACAACTCAAAAACTGTTTAACCGGGCGAAAAATATCGATTATTTTGGATCTGAGCCTTTTATCGTGTTTTACAAGCAGCTAATTACATTATTCGCTTCATTCGGATGAAAATGATGTAGAACTCGAGGCATTCTGAAAGAATTTTAATTTTTTCAAAAATTCGACCTCTACGCGTATAAAATTTTCGGTAAAAAATAAAAATTTTACATGCGTGTTTTGTGCCCTCAATGGATTGTTTCCGATCTAAGAAGCTCTAGTGATGTATAAATCGAGGCATCTTGGAACAATTTTTATTATTTGTTTAAGTATAATGATAGCTAAAACATAGCCGAACCGTGGGCGTAAGGAAAACTGTGTTCTTGTTCGCTCACCATTCTTATAACAACTTGTACGTGTCATAAGAACGAATATCTACTAAATCGTACCAAAACAGGCTGAAAAAAATGAAAGTTGACTGATTTCATTGTTAAAAAAAGCAGTGTGATGCAAGTGAAACGAAACTTAATATCTTTGGTAATGCAAATTATTGTTATATACAGCTGTATTACAATATTTAATTATGGAAGAAACTGTTGCAAAACTGAATTGTATTTCAAACCATAATTGTGTTTATTGTATGTCTGTAGACAATGTATTCACTTGAATTTCTAATAATAAAAACAACATTAAAAACGTAATTTATATGTTAACGCACTGATGAAATAAGCTACTAGGATTTAGGCGAAATACTGAAGATTATTGAAATCGGATTAAGTTATGATAAGCCAAACGCAGTAACATTCCTAATTGTAATCGCATGCTTGTAGTGATTACAAGGCAGGTTAACTAATGGTAAGTAGGTAAGTTAATTAACCGAACCAAGAGCATCCTTATAAAGGAGTCACTCATTTAGAAATATATGTAGGTGTTGGGTGTTGGAGGCTTATGATTGACCTATTGCACAATCATGTTTTTTCTTTGGTCAATTTAGGATTTCTACTTAAGGGAAACGTATCCACTTGCTTACCACACAGCTGTTGGTAGAAGCAGAATGTTATCCAAAACCAGTGCATCCACCAATAATGTGTCATGATTTTAAAGGCATAAGGATCTAAAAAAAGTTACATATTTATTTGTACATAAACAAACACAAGTTTGCCATTAAGCATATCAATACAGGTGACTTGGAGTCGTTTGATTTAATTACCTTATTGCTCAATGAATCTCTGCTTTATAACAAAAACCGTACTGTTTATTTGCACTTAAAAAAACACATAATTGTTTAAAATTAATTATTACAACTTTACTTCACTTCTACCATTCACCACAATCCACAATGCTTTGTTATGGCACAGCGCTATGGTCAAGCGCAATAACAAATGAAACGTCATGTAGACAATATCATTGTTCTATTGAACAAAACTAGTCTCATCTCTAAGCTTCAATCTTTTTGTCTTTATCTCTTTGGTAGAAACAGACGGAAACAGACATACCGCCACTAGTTTTCAATGTTGTCTTCATGAATCAATGAAAATTTATGAAAAATTAGGGTAGTTGTAAGAGAGAAAAATTTAGCAATTAAATTTTTTTTAAACTGGAATTAAATCAATCCAGTAGGAATGTTCTTGAGTCTACAGTGTCAATACATAAAAATCGGTACTTCACTGACAACACTTGTGACGTGTTGTGTGTCAGTGTCATTAGTATAACTCGATGGCATGGTTATGTATATTTTGTTGTAACCTGTGATTAATGCGACAAAACTTCCAGGTAAGCTGCTTATCAGTTAAACTACAGCTGTATTTATACTCGTTCGTTAGCTCTTATTGATATTGATGTAACTTAGCGGTTTGGTTTGAACGCGGCATTTTTAATTTCCTTAAGGAAGTACACATGAGAGGAAGTACCGAATATTATCCTAATTTTTGGATGTCAAGGCTGACCATCAATTTAAGTTTGTTTAAGACGCATATAAATTTATATTACTTTCCCTTGAAGCCCAAAGCGAAGGCAGTTATTCGCTACATACGGATTAAATGCACCACAAAAATTAAATGTTGACTAGACCAACGTTACTCAAAGTGTGCTCCGCAAAGCCAAAGCTTCCCATTAAATTATTATCCCCAAAAAACGTTTTTAAATTAAATCCCAAAAAACTTTATTTTTGTATAACGTATATTATAATGTTAAATAACTCGTTTTACTTTTAGTTTAGTTAGGGTTTAGGGCTCCGTTAAAAATTTAGTTTTTCAAAAGGGTTCCGTCACCAAAAAGGTTTGAGAACCGCTGGACTTGACAATATCAAATGTGCTTCATAATTTAACAGCTTAAAATCCCTGACCATTATTGGCTTTTCCCAATACCTTTATCCAAACATGTATTAAATTAGCTCCAGCTAAACATTGTCAACCTTGGATTTATGTGGTCCCCACAAGGTTTGCAGGATTAACAAATGTAAATGATAAGAACCTGTTTCTTAGTACATCGTAAAGAAAAATCTCATTGCTGAATTTTTATCTTCTGGGTGACAAAAAATAAAAGTGTAAAAAGATTGCGCGGCACCTCATATGAGAGATATTTCTCTTCACTAGATTGCCAGAGTTCGAAAACACTGTGACTACAGAGGAGGAACCCACCCTTCAATTTAATTTAAAAACATTTAAAAAAAAAGCCTAAAAGTTTAAATTTGGTATTTTGTTTCCTTGCAAACAGGCTATAAAAATTAGCGATATAGAACGCGTTTTTTAGACAAAAAGATTTTCCCATTATTCTTTAACTGGCAAGTAAACACGGAGAACACGTTTTATATTCGAATTTAATAGCGCCTAGTTATTTATAGTTGCCCGATAAAAATCCTTTGAGGAGGTCCGGAACTATCAAATTTTATTGTTGTATGCATTTGATCTGCAGTGCTATTGAGAAACTGTTTTGAATTTTAACAAAAATTATTTGGCCAATTACGACACTAAATTAGTTCATTGTCATAAATTCCTTTTAACACAGCAAGCAAGTCTTCGGAATAAATTGGTAGCAATAAGAATCTTGTATTACACACATGTTCAAGTGGGTACAGCGTAATAATAAAATCCTTGTGAGAGTTTGTTTTATTTAGTGTGAATAAAACACTTAAAAAGAATAACTGAATTGCATCACCATGTGTTTATTTGGTAAAGTTATTAAGGACTGTGCATTAACTTTTTATCATACATTACCCAACATAGTTTTTCATGCGAATTGAAGAATATGTGCACTATCAGTGATTAATTGTACCAACGGTATTGATTATATTGTTTGCACATAATTATGTAAATAGATATGCAGGCCTTATTGAGTTTCTCATTAATTGTACTGTTCCGTCATGCCCAATTATTTGGCTTAGTGTTTTTTAATAATTCTGTTTATGTGCCTGAATGTGGACGATGACCCTAACTCGGTGGATCGATTTAATATTTTTTATGTTGCCGTGTAATTATTAATTCAACTACCTAGTTTTAATAGAAACTCGCCGTTTGAGATGCTGTCTGAGCAAAATTGTTATTTCATTATAATTGGCCAATATACACTGTAAAAAACGATTATTACACTTATTAAAACTGCTGTGTTATTTTACGATCAGAACACATTTTCATCGTCGTGTGCAGACCAGGCAGTAAATATTCAAAATTGTGGACAACCAAATTAAATGTTACTTCACGTAGTATAACTGTTAATAACCAGAAGAATGTACGTGTGGCCATAGAAGATATTGCTCATACTTACGAGATATAAACTTTTAACGAGCGCATGGTACTAGATGAGAAGCATTAGTGGACACGCATATCAATACGGTTCGTTAGTCAACTGTAGGTATCGTTTGCCTCAGTCTTAACAAAACTTCCGATTCGTGTTAAAGTTAACAAAACAGAAGCATTAAACAATTTTTGGTGTTCATTTGGGAAATTCTATCATGAAGGTAATATTCTCTAATACTCAACCATCAAATCTCCGGTTTTTTGTAACTGTTAACAAGCTCTGAGTTATTTGTGCGCCGCTCTTATAAACAATTCAGGTGTTCGACGAGATTTCCCATTTGCTTCAAAAATATTCCAAAAATTTATATTGATCAGCTGAAAATTGATTATTTTTTTAGTTAACTATTTATTCTTCTATTCGCCCTTGCCAGGCATCATTGTTTTATTGTTAAAATACGGTAGTTACGTGTTCCTCCTTTCAGAAACTAGCTAAATCTAAAATATCTCCGCAGACCTTGATTGGACGATATTGTAATAAAAAAATGATTAATCCAAGCATATTCAAAATTGTACCCCGGCAAATGTATAAATTAATTAGCACTGTTGAAATACCTGTATATAGTAAATTACGGCATGCTATAAAATTAGCAATTAGTTAATGTTGATATACAAGAACGTCCTTTCAGAAATTTAAATAAAAACCAAGAGCCTATAGAATATTAATCAAATATTGCTTCGAAACGACCAGTCATTATGGATGTAAGTCTGACGGCAAATTACATGTTTTGAGGGGAACAATTCAGACAAAACTTTGAAACAAGTCTAGTGTGGTTTTATTCCTATAGTAGTGACGGATCATGTACTAGCATGTGGCCAATTGGATTTTATTAGTGTAAATCGGTATGTGTAAATCCTAGTTTTTAATTGTGAAATATTTTAAATCTTATTCTTTGGGGTTGAAACCTTCGGCAAGCACAAATATTTCTATTGTTGTCTGATCGGTAGATTATTGATTCAGTATTTCTTCATTGTTCATCAGCGAAAATTGATTTCTGTACCAAAGATTAGACACTTTTTAAATAAGTCCCGAGCTCAACATCTCATGAATTTGGGTGATGTATTAAAAAAATCAACTTTTGAAAAAAGTGATCTATTTTCGCACATTCAGCGAACAATTATCTGCAACATTCTTTTGCTTTTTTTGCTACCATCGATGCATTAAAAACTCACCCTGTATTTTATTAACGTTGAACATTTAATAGTATAAAATTATGCCCTTCCCATTTAATGCAGTTATCGTTACTCCACCCAAACCACTACTGTATTAAAATACTTTGTAATTAACCCATTTCCGATTATATAATTAAAATGTGGTTTCGACGCAACTCCTTTTGATTTTTTAATTTAAATTCACATCCTGCGTCTAATATATGAAAACAAATGGGCCACTATAATATTAAATAATTACTGCCACATGTAAGAATAGATGAAACGTGCAATCGGGCACATGCTTACCAGTACTCCAAGCAAGAAGATTAATCTTGTGCGGGATGTGAAAGCAATGCAACTATTTAAAAGTGTATTTTATTTTTGGACAAATGGCTTTTTATTCAAACTATTGTATTTGATCGTATTGCGTGTTATGTTGTTGCTGGATTATTATCTAGATGGACCATTTTCCTAATTTATTTTTTAGACCAAATGTAAACCATTAAACTCTTCAAAAATCAATTCAGCACCTTCAGTTTCTCACGATTAATGTTTAGTATTACCCACAAACTACCAGGCAAAATATTTACATATTTGATTTATACCTATTCTGCTGCTCATATGCTACATATTTTGAAAAGTGAATGTTAAATAGTAGGTGGCCTGTTATTGATAAGAGGCAAAGTCTTTCGGCATCCAAAAAAAACAATAATCGAAACTTGAGTAAGGTTAGTATTTGAGTAAGTTTCTCTCAGCTTTGCGAAATCCTGTTAAATTTCGACACTTATTGTTAAGACGATAATACTAATCTATCGCGTCATAGGAAAAGGAATTGAGGTCTAGCAGAAATAGACAAGGTCGAAAGAACAAAAGCTGTGAAGGATCTATGATGCGAAGATTATATGTTTTCCTAGATTCCACATAGGCTCACTAAATGTGTAGTATAATTTAATTTAAATAATGTCTTCTACGAGAAAACTCAATAGCGGGTAATTAGCATAAAAAGGGTTTTAACTAATGAAGAAGGACTGATCAAACAAAATAATTAATGCAGGTGAATACACCGTTAGACGCATCAAGGAAGATTATTTTTTAAGGCTGAGAACGAAGATAATGATGAATTTTGACTCGTTATCCGACGTTAATTATGTTGCAAAAGGGACAAAACACGAAATTACAACATTCAAAGGCAACTGTAAATGCTTCGTGACTGCAGGTCATTTAAATAATCTGATCGGAATTTCATTGTTTTAAAAATGGGGTCATTATTTGTCGTAGAAAAGTCGGTTGGCAGGTATTTCGTTTTTTTTTCAAGGGCCATCTCGAATTTAGGAAACGGCCGATCTAAATAATTAATTCTTGAAGTTCTACTTTCTGAGCCTCTCTTTTCTATGAAATTTTCTGCTGTTTTTCTCCCACTTGAGTGGTCATAATTTTGACCAAATTATGCACGAATTAATTAAGAGTGCGGATGTGATGGGTGAAAGTAGAACTAATAATTAAGCCATTCGATTCTCACAGCCCAGAACATTATCTGACGCCCGTTTTGAAAAACATGCGACTTTTGTCTTTGAGCGTATATTATTCCAATGGCCGTTAGGATTTCGTTATTCAATTAGATGCATTTGATTTGGCCTAGCCGGCAACTAAAGGTCAAGGCTGATTATTGAAAATAGCCATTTAGATCCATTTCAGCTACTTAGTATATGTCGCAAAAAGTAAATATTTACGGTGTGTTTATATGTTTTAAGGACGGCCGAGACGCGATCTAGCATCGAAAGTAGGAAATATGGGGGGATCGTTACAGCCCCAGTTTAAAGAGTAAGGTATTTTTGGTCGCCTAGAGAGAGTCGTTCTTAGGCTCTTCAACAGCAAATTTTGGCGACTTCAAAGACTTCACGGTTTTTTTCCGCGCGGTTTGTATGCACATTTTTAAAGTCCCATCGCGCCGAAAGTGAGGCATGCATAACACTTTTTCTGGTGTTATTCTAAAGAGCAAGGGGACGTCTGTGATTGCCTTTAGCGTGATTCTTATACCCCTAAAGGGCGAAAAATTGTCACTTTTTTGCGCCGTTGGCATGCTAATTCTTATAGTATTATAAATCCAGTAGCGCCGAAAGTGGCTCGTTTGGAGGGTTTCTTCTAGTGTTATTTTGAAGAGTAATTTTTGTTCTTTGCTTGTAACGCGATGCTTTTTTGCCTTTTGGGCAAATTCTGACGATTTTTCAAAGTGCTCAATAAAACAATGATTAATGATTTTATGACCAGGCAAGAAATGGATCAATAAAAATGTTTTTTGTCTGAACTTATTCACATAAAGGGCGGTGTAGGCAAGGTCTTATCGAACGAATTGTAGAATTGGAAAACGCAAACGTATAAAATAATCGTGTCGTCTACGCGCTCTAGTTTTAATAGGTGATTTAAGAGCAGAATAGTTTGCTAAAGAGAAAAAAATTATAACTACATCAAATTGCCTCGTCGGAAAATCACTGATAATTCGTTTTACTTTCGAGCTTAATACGCGAAGCTGACAAATACCTAATTAACTGAAGTAAAAAGCGGAAGCCGTCAAAACCCAATAATAAAATCTTACATTTACATATATTGTTATTGTCTTGCTCTTGTTAAAAACCTGTTATATCCGGTCATAATTTCAATCAATGGCTTGTGGGTGGATTTGACTAAAAAGATAATGTTACGCTATACAAATGTTCTATAAACTAAGCATTACTCGTCTTGGCTTCGTATAAACGAATTTCTGCTTTATGGTAGGTATATAGTCATTTGTGCGTTCATAGCGAGCAACAGTGAACGGAATACAGTATACACATGTATGTATGTACGTACAATATACATATAATGCATAATTGCCGAGAGTGCGAAGCTACTTAAAAGATAATCGGAGTTTAATTAAGAAGTGTCCTTGTCTGAAGGTAAATTTATTCTGTATTATCCAAAGCGATTTTTGCTTTAAAATAAAGCCAATATTTACGTTAGTAGTTGGGATTTTTCAATATTTTCCCAATGACCAAATGCGAGTAAATACATCGTTTAAAAAAAATTGAAATTCAAAAAATATATAATTAACAAAAAACAAACCAGTAATAATTTGGTGGTTTTGGTACTATGAATTTGATTTGTAAAGTTCCACTACCAATAGATTGAAATAACTGGTGAAAGTTCTGCAATTAACAAACGCAGCCAATGTTGGTCCCCAAAAGTATTGACCAAAACGTGTCGTTAAACACGAATGCACGTCACACTTGCATGTGTAAATTTTTTAGTCGCTGTGTCAATATTAAATAAACTGCATCGACTTGAATTTTCTGAACAAGCAAAATTTAAGTAGTCAAGCTGCTTTTTGACTGAAATTTGGATCCAATTATTAGCGCCAAAACGACAAAAACCGCTTTAAAATGGTTTTGTCACGTTACGCTGTCTGCAAACAATGATTTTTCTTCACTCTCCTTTAACGCGATTTTTAGCAATTCTATTGTTTTTCTCCCAAGTAAATACTAGGCTGGCAATTCGCATGTGATTGGCTGTGACAAATATCCCCGTACCGTTTGGTTTTTGGTTTTATGTTTAACGAAAATCCTTTTGTTGCAGATTTGAACGACATGTCGCTGATACGTATGCTCTTAAAAGGAATATCTTTATTTTTATCTACTTAAATTGGTAAGTCCAAGAGAATTATTTCATTAGTTGAATACACAAAGTGTGAAATGATACGGTTGAGTTAGTTTAACTTGCTTACCGCGCGAGTGAAATCTAGTTTATAAATTTTATCTGTGAATGATTTTAAAAAAATAACCTTTGGATATGTTGAAACTGTCCCGAGGTAGTCAAGTTGGAGTGATGTAATGTTTATTTTAATTGGATTATCATCATAATCAGGTAAATTTACATTAGTTTTTGCGGGAAAAAATGCTTCGAAGAAATCCACAAAAATACTCGAACTACTTATATATTTTGTCATGCTCTGGAATATTTGCTAAAAACGTGTGTCAACAATTCAAATATTATATTATAATCAATTTCAAGGGTGCGTAAATGGGCATATTTTTTTTGCAACCGTAAATTTAATATGAATTTATCTGCCTATGGCGTTGAAAAGCATGTAAAAAACACGTAGCTTTAATTTCTAAAATTAAACATGTTGCCAGGATATTTTCTGGCAAGTTTCCGACTTGCATTAGTTACCGAATAACTCATTTGTAACTGTTAAGCTGGTGTTTTTTCCTTTCACCGATTTAAATGCATGTTGCTGACTGCGGCGTTAGGGAAATGTTGATAAAAATTGCAAAAAAGTCGAGAAATTGATTCAATATTTGATTTAATTGTTGGATTAAGAGCTGCTGGGCTAAGAAAGACCACACAATGGTATTATTATTCTTATCTGCCAATTGTTATACTGTTTGAGATCTGGCGAGAGTTTTGACAATTGAAGCGGTTTATAAAATTAAATGATCAAATATTTGTCGAGATATTGCGGTAAGAGGTGAAACAAAATGCCAAGGTTTCAAACATTGGAAAAAAATTGTCTCCAAAATTATCTCTACGAAAAAACACCTCGTGCAGAGCTACCTAATAAATTTCAATTGTATTTAAAAGACAAATAAGTGAGAAATCAGATTAGAAATTGTGCACATTAATATTGAAGTCGGTCCATTGAACTTTCCGCTGTAGTAGGTATATTTTATACTATTATTAAACCGTTGGGATATGAAGACTTCCACTTATTAATAAATAGTGAGGAACATGGCAAGCGGAAGCCCTTTTGAAACCTTCACACATTACTCACTGATATTTACTCTACAGCATTAAAATGCGGTGGTCAACATCGCAAATAATGGAATATTTACCGAGACTTGTTTGCTGCAAAATTAATTCGAAACAGTGGAATACTTTATAGACCATAATTTGATACGGCAATTGAAAACTCGCAGTGACAATGTTTTATTCAAGGATGGATTCATTTCATTTTCATGCTTAATTTATGGCCATTTATAATGTAGATTTGTTTAGAGTTAATAAGTTACAATACAAATATTTCGCAGGCGATGCGATCGGATACAGAAACCATTCAATATGAAAACAATTTATATTTAGCTTGAATGACTAAAAGAAACGTGATATAGATCTACAGGATGTTATTGAAGCCTTATTAAAAAAATTTGTTTTTTTTAGGTATGGGGGTGCCATGGCTATCCCAAGTGCGTTATGTGCACTTGGCATTTGCATTCACGTTACTGGTATTGCTTTTCTACTTGTTCTCCCTAAATCCGGCTACACTAAGGCCGACAATACCACCAACAAGATCATTCTTAACCTCAGAAGTCCGAATGATCCAAGGTAACATTAGCTTTCCTGGTGTGCACAACAACACATCATCGGAGGCGCCCCCTCAACCACAAAACGCAAGCAATCACTCGAATCATACTACGAATATTCATCAAGCAAACCTAGATCTGACTCAAGGAGTTCCCGCTGAATATATTTACGAAGCTGGTCATATAGATGTAAGTTCTGATGTTTGTGCTGACTTGGGCAAAGGTGTGAAGCTGCTAGTAGCTATCACGTCAGCACCAAGCCATGACAGTGCCAGAGAAGCAATTCGAAAGACTTGGGGTTCATTCGCTAGCCGAAAGGACGTCGCTATAGCCTTTATGTTAGGGTCAATCGCCAATGAAACAATTAACAAGAAGCTGGACGAAGAACAAACTTTATACGGTGATATCATTAGAGGCAAGTTTGTTGACACATACGACAATCTTACTCTGAAAACTATTTCGATATTGGAATGGGTGGATAATTACTGTCCTAAAGCAGCTTTCGTACTTAAAACGGACGATGATATGTTTATTAACGTGTCCCGCCTCCTAGCTTTCATAGCAAAACATAAGCCTGAACAAAAAATTATCTATGGCCGGCTGGCCAAAAAATGGAAGCCGATAAGGAACAAAAAGTCGAAATACTACATTTCTCCGCAACAGTATAAACCACCAGTTTTTCCAGATTTCACTACAGGTCCGGCCTATTTACTTCCTGCTAATTTAGCAAAGCCGCTCTATTTATCCGCTTTAAATCATACTTATTTAAAGTTGGAAGATGTGTTCCTCACCGGAATTGTAGCAGATGGGCTTAAGATCAAAAGAGTACATGCTCCCGAGTTTCTGAACAAAAGAGTCTCCTTTACACCCTGTAATGTTCAAAAAGAGATTAGCATTCACATGGTAAAAAGTGCTGAACAGTTTGACTTGTGGAAAAAGCTGCATGATATAGCCAAGTGTAAAAAGTGATATTTCAAGCAAGCAACAAACTTCTTGTGATTAGTCTTTATTATATAAATAGTTACTTATTTGTTAACAGTATTTATTTTATGTTAAATTATTTTTGCATTTAAACGTTTTATTGTAATAAATTAGAAAAAGGTTATAGATGATAATAAACGATTTTATATAAAAACAAATATATATCTACTAATTTAATAAAGCTGTGAATTATTCTCTTAAGTATTATGGTCATTTATATTGTACTTAAATATAAATAATTTACTGAAACTGAAAAGTCGTTGAAGCTCAATAAACATTATTTATTAAAAGTATTAGTTAACATTTATCTGACTGATCTACAGTGGTGTGGTTATAGTAGTTCAAATAATTTTCAAAAGCAGCTGACTCCAGAGCATTTGCGCCTTCCTCCTCCCAATAATGCCGGTAATCGAGGCTTCATGCTGCCGCGAAATTTCAGGTAATAGCCACCGAACTAAATGTTAACTAAACGCTTGATATGATTTTTTGCATTGATTTATATTATACCAAATCAAAATCAGAGTTAAAATAGTCTCTGAATATTGTATTATTGCTATTTGAAAATTGACGAGACAATCCATTTTGTTCCTTCATCACCATATGGCTCTATGTTTTTTATAAGGAAATAAAAACTCTTGTGTAGTAACTATTTGTTCTTATTATATCGTGTTAAATGTAAATAAATCCTATTTTAAGTTTTTCAAGCAATTTGAGTGTTCAGTAACGTTTGATTTCACCTACTAGACAGATTTCCAACTAACTACAAATGCAATATTTTTTTATTTGTTTTAAATGAAACAAAATCCTAATAAATAATAAATGTGCTTTCTGAACACTTTCTTACTATTAAAATAAACTATAAAGCTATATAACTACTGCTGAATTGCGCAAGTCTTGATACAAATTTAATTTTAAGTCACAACAGCTAAGTAGCAATTAAACAATAAACAAAACACTTGAAGGTTTTTTCAAAACTATATAAAACTATTAAGGTGAATACACCTTGCTATATTGTTACACTGTTAGTGTTTGGTTTATACCCCGTAAGCTCCTAACCAAATATTGCATGCCAATTTGTTGTAAAGTACAAATAAAATTTAAAAATTTCTTGGAAGGAAAGAATAAACCTATTCCAGGGGATAACGGTTTTTACAAAATATACATACTATGATCAACAAGTTGCAAAAACAACACTTGTTGTCTTATTGGCATTAATAGCACCGTTCTACTACAACTGCCTATTTACGATTTCTTATATAACAATTCACAATTAGTATCTGGCAATTTACGTATTCGTTGTACGAGCATTATTACTCTCTACTATCTTCGTTGACCATTGGAACATATACAAAGGAGTTTACTTCCTCCAATACTAGTTCTAGAAATTCAACATATAAGGGATACTATCGCTTTAATCCCCCAGCAGTTCTTACCTCGCCATTTTTCAACTGGATAATTCATTGTTTCCTCGCTTTCATCAAACGGAGCCGATGTAGGCTCATCGTTTGGATCCGCATATGAGGCAAGATACGGATGGGCCAGCGCTTGTTCTGCGGTAATCCGCTTATCGCTGTCTATTTCTAACATAAGGCCCAACAAGTCTATAGCTTTAGGATTTGCGCCTGTGAAGTAGTGATTTAGATCCTTTTTCGCTACTGCAGGTAACGATTGTATGTAATGTCTGGCCTGGAATTTATTACACTCAAATATTATCTGGAGTTTCGTGAAGTGCATATCATTTATGCCGGTAACTTGAATACAAGTGAATAATTACGCACACTTTCTGAAGTGATTCGTTCCATAAATTCTTCGTTAGGGGTACCCAAAATTTCCATGATTAAATTGAGCTGATGAATATCTGATCTTGGTTAAGAAATGGTCATGATCATTTTCCTACAGTAACACATTGTGGTTTAATGTAATAAGGATACGATCTGTCCCAGGAAACAACGTTTTTCCCGTCAACAATTCGGCCATAATACAACCAACAGACCAAATATCAACAGTTTGGTTGTAATGCATCCAGTTCAACATAATTTCGGGCGCTCGGTACCACCTGGTGGCCACATAGCCCGTCATTTCCGTTTCTGTAGGCCTTGCTAAACCAAAGTCCAGTATTTTCAACTCACAATCTTCATTGACTGCTATATTCGAAGGTTTTAAGTCCTAAGCAATAGATCGGTAGCTTAGATGTTGGCGGAAGCACAGTGTTTGCTTGCATATTTACCCTATGAATAATTCCGGCAGAATGGATGTATTTTAGGCCTCTTAGGATTTGATAAACTAAGAACTGAACATGTTCATCGGTCAGTCTTTGTGTTCTAATTATATTGTTTAAGTCTGCGCCCATCAAATGCGTTACCAAATAGATCTGGAAGCAATTCATGTTTAGTTAACGTGCCATTCATGGTACCACCATCAGAATGATTTTTTTAACTTTGGTGTGTTTTTGCGCAGTTTTAATTTTTACTTGTAACACGAGTTGAGACAATCGAATGAGTTCCGATTAAAACACTGGTGTATGTGGATGAGATCGAGTACCTATTTTGAGAGAGCATCAAAATTACCTGGCTGTTATCATGCTTAGGGTAAAACACATCTAAAAGGCCAATAACATTCTCATGACGCATGTGTTTGAGAAGTTTCAGTTCCCTATACGTTCTTTTTGCATGGACAGCAGTTTGAAATGGACGGGCTAGTTTTTTTATTGCTATTTTTTTTCGGGTCTGGGCATCCAAGGCTGAACTGGAACATAGAGAACCGATTAAACTGTAAGAAAAGAAAGGTGTGGGGGATAGGAATGTTGTGGCAAATCATATTAAATGTAATAGACTAATAGGTGTTATTGATAAATAATTTTAAAAAATATATGATTATAAAAAGTGAAAACTTATTTCATACGATTAGTATAGATGGCAATGATTTTTCGGTGCTTGAGAAGATCAACTGGTATCAGAAAGTATCAAGGGTGCTAGTTTTTTTTGGATACTGCAACTGAGTTTGAGCCGAATGAAGCAATGAACAAACGCCGCTTGAAGAGAGTCTTTTTTAAGCCGGGATTGTACCCACTTTACATAAGCAATGTAGTTTAATTTTCTTCATCTTTTAAATAAAAAATCATCCTAAGGCAATATATTACTGTTCCTGAAAACTGCTCAGTGTTATTCAGTTCGTTAGTTCAGTTCTTTAGATTCGTCTGCATTCATGCGGCAATCAAATGTACCGCATGAATGTGTGTTAAATTTGTTTTGTTAAAAAAACTGTTTTATTTGGTTATGGACAAGGGAAATTAGATGACGATTGGCTAAAATTCGGTAATTCTCATAGTTGGCGTCATGCATTACAAGAAGATTTGGTTCTTGCTAGTACCTACACCGCTAGAGGTCAACACCTAGCGGTTATCAGAGTCGCGCATTTCAAATGAAAGTTAACATGAAGGGTGCAAGGTGTAATATCGAGTGCTTCGCACATAAATATCAGTTTTTTGGTAAGAATTGAACTTAATTTGCTGAATGTACCCGATGAACTGTTGTTCTTGGCTTGTTTGATATATGTAGTCATTATTTAAATCAAAATGATCACAAAAAAGTACTTATTCATTTAAGCAACATGAAATTTACAACTTGGACTAAACCGGTGTGTTAGCTGTGGCTACAACTACTAGGACTAAAGTTCTTCTGCAGACCGAGTAATTGAAATAACACAGAGCCTGGACTCATTGAAGTCGCACACAAAAGTGGATGGGATGGCTACTAAGAAACGTTAATTGAGGAGAACAAATAGAGAATGATAAGCGTCAAAAAAGGTTGAAGATTCCAGGTAATGAGTGGATGAATTGGATTTTGAGGTTCGACTATAAAAAATGTTAGAGCCGCAAAAATTAGATAGGTAATAGATACTAGAATATGAACGTTCATTCATTAGTGCAGATTTTGTCCTATGACTTTTTAATAACGAATTCATTCGTAATATAAAAAAATACTTTGAAGCAAAACACAACAAATGGGTTTCTAGGGCAAAATAATTCGTATGGTTTTCTTTGAAGCTGGTGGGTCATTTGAATGGTTTTGCTGGGAACAAATACCTATATTACTTTCATTATTTTGTTTTGTTTGATCCTTGTTTCGCGCTTCTGCACTATGTAGGTGCCTTGATTATTACCACAGGGGCAAAAGTGTTTGACGGAAAATGTTGTCAACCAACTTACACACTTGCAGTTTAAGCTGCAGCTGATTTTTTCTATGCAAATTTTGATTTCAATCGTATAATTAACCTAATAGCAAGAAAATCCTAATTTGCAGGCAGATTGAGTTATCGAGGTCAACTGGCTGAAATGTACCTTATCAATAGGATTTAAGCGAGTTTAGAGGCAAGCTAGTCGAATATAGGCCACATAAAGGTTACAAATTACAACTGTTATTATTGTAGGTGCTGTACATACCAAACTTGGCCGTATGCTCCAGATCCAACTGTGGACAGATTCTGATACCTGACTGGTATCTCCCATAATGTCTTGTTAACTTCAACCTTATAAAAACTTATCATTTTCCACAGATTTCCTAATTAAAACTTGTCAAATTTTTAGACATTCACTGCAGTTTATTTCGTTACCAGTTACTACCTGGGCAAAAACTAAACAATAATCTCGGAATAGAAATAAACATACGCAATCACGCGCTAAGGACAGAGACAGATAATACATGTCGTCTCAAAAACATTTTGGTGGGATTTCGATATTTTTGTGTACGTCAACTGGTTATTTATGAAGCATCAAGCTGCAAAAAATAGGCCAGACTGAGTATTTTTCTAATTTTAACTAATGACTTGCTAATACATGTGTAATACTGAACAGGTATCGAAATGCGCTGGGGCGTCAATTCTTGGCGCAAATAAAAACGCTGCAAATCGGTAAAATTCTTATCAATATTGCAAGTATTGCTTAATTTATCCAGTGTCAAGTCAATACACCTTAATGATTAATACATATATTTTATAATGTTATCTTGGCTTATGCTTGGGCACCTTCAATTATTAGTTTATTAATTAAAATGTTCATATAAACTGACAGTTCAGTTAACTGACAAGTTGAAATCAGACAACTGGTTGTCAGTAAATCACTCAAATCCACACTGAAATGCATACCATATGCAAACCTGCAATAATTTTCATCGAAACAATCGATAAGCAAGGCATAATTTAAGTAAAGTATTCGCGAAAAAAACGAAAATGATGCGAGATGACTAAGGGGGTTGCGATTCGATGCCAAAACTCGCTGGCCGGCAAGAATGCAAACTGACGAGTGTGAGACCCGGACGAACGAAATGGGTTTCTAGATTATCGGCCGGTTATTAGCGGGAGTTTTGAATTTTTAAGACAATAAAAATTCACTGGGTGATGTGTGTTCAAGTTCAAGAAATCCCGAAGTAAACAGACTACAAGTTGCAGTCATTCAACTAGTAACCTCTCGCCCTAAAAAACAATTTTTCGAAAACAGGCATCAGCACAACCAACAAAACTGTCACAGAAAGAGAGGTTAAGGTAAAGAAGCGGCTTTTGAGAAGACTATAGTGACCAAAACAAATAATTAGCCGTAGCAGAATGGATAAGTCTTTGAAAGGGAAATCGCTGCTTATTGGCTCCGTTTCACACACACCTCGGTCTAGCTTTGCAGGCAAATCAATGGTCCAAAATCGCAGCTTAAATGAGTCGTAAGTTCCTAGCTAACAATACTGTTGGTAAAAGTTCGTTATGTTACTCATTTGCAGGCGGCAAAACACCAGAACTTCAGTCCAGGTCGTTTTAAAAGGCTTGTCCAATACTGTAGAACGATTTGGGTTACCCATTCCTGTACAGGTAGAAGAAGCATTTTCATTTTCCGATAGTAAGTATACAATTCCTTGTAAACTAAAAAAAACTGGACGAAATATCCCCAGAATCTTGTCATCTAGAGCAGGGGTTTTTAAACTCCGGCCGTGAGCACCCTCTAATTTATTTTAATTATTCAAATAAACGTTCACGTTCAGTTATAAACTGACTTAAATACAAAAAAATAATTAACTTATCAGACCGACTAGTTTATTTTCGGATCTGTTGAGCTTTGTTAGGCCTCTCACTTAAAAGCAAATGCCCTCGAACTATGTTAAAACTTGACTTTCAATTAATTTCACAAAAATCAAATGAAAACATTTCAAAAACCCGATCCAAAATCCAAACTGTCGTCGTTCCTCGTCGAATAAATATAGCATACAACAATATTAAATACAAGTAAATAATATGGGACTAAATAAAGTGCGGAACTTACCGAAAACTGCATTGGGGCACCTGGAAATAACGAAGAAAATCTGTCCAAAGCCATATTATCGGAAATGTAAAGAACGCATAACTTTAGTTGCTTTTCGAAGAACTAAAATCGGTTTACGCTTAGCGACTTATAGATTAGAGATCATTCTTACCAGCTTTCTGCAAACTGGGGCCCCGTCGTCCGCTTTCAGCCCATTAATAAAAAAGCTCACACTATGAAAACTTTAATCCTGCACTTTGCATCCATAATAAACAGCCGTACTTGCCACAAGGGCCACAATAATTCTATATTGTTTATCTAAGATCGCGATTCACCCGACACTGCGGATTGTCAACGCATTTCTTCCACTGTCTGTATTAAACTAAATAGGTATTCAGACTACTTCGAAAAAAAATTCCAAAGGCACGACACTACAGAACCAACATCATGATATAATCATTTGCATTGCTTGGGCGCCCTTCGGATGAGTCACTCATTTATTTTGCAGTTCGATTTCATTTTTATTATTGTTGAGTATTTTATTGAAAGTGCATATTCGCACGGCGATATTTTCAAAGATAAGTTTCACGGTCCAACTCGTTTGGATGGTCGGCGTAAACAAAACAGCTTAGTCAGCAAAAGATAAACAAATTTGCCATAAGCAACTTTACACAAAGTTACTCTTTTTTATGTTAAATCAAGCGGTGGAAGGCATATAAGGAAGCTCTACTTGACAAACCTCCGGTTTGGCGCCCGTTTGGTTTAGAATGGAATGGAATGGTTTAGTTTGGAATAGATGGATCGCGTACCGTTCATGCAGAAATATTTTTTAATTAAATGCTTATTTTGAGACATACGATTTTATTTTCCAGAAAACACTGTAATCACAGCAAAAGTGTCTGAATCCGGTTATGCGTGGGTGGTTTGTGGTAGAAAGCTCTTGGTATGGAGATACCAAAACATTAAATCTAATGCATCTCCTAAAAAATGGAGTTTTCCGATTTGCCATGAGCTGAGGCTGCCACAGAGTGATTTGGCTCATAGAGCTGAGTTGGTTGCAGTATATCTGAGCAAAAACGCAAAACATCCATCGTGTGTAGCAGTATCTCCAGAAGGTTTGTATTTTGTTGCATCGTAAAATAGCCGGAAATGATTTGTTTTGCCTTAAAGAGATGTTTTTGCTGGCTTTGTAGATTCTTCCTTCGATCTTCTGGTCGTTGGCATAACTACATTATTTTCGTCTCGTGGAATGTTTTTGATAAAATCCGAATAAGCCATTTAACTTCAATGTAGTAGATTAGCTAAGATGAAACCCACAGTTAATTAAAAAAAAATTAGTTACTCGCAAATCCGCATGATGTATTGTCTATTTGAATAAATTTGAAGGAATGGTCCGTTATTGGTTGGATATCACCCATGATCATCGTTCTGTTGATCAGAATGTAGATTTAAATGGTGAAGAATGTGATAGCTTGATTGAGGCTGGCATTCTTGGATGTGTATTTGTAACCACTTCATGTACCGTGGTGTTGGTACAACATAAGCCCGGAAGTTACGAGGAACAATTGAACTGTCGAACTTTGAAGACGCCCGCAAGCTGGCTGGGGGGATTCAGTAAGAGAGTAACATCAATATTCTTTGGTCCAATGTCAAGCGATCAAGGAAATGAGAATGTATGTTTAACGTTCAACGTAATCGCTTGATGGAACTTTGACGAATTGTGTTACATTTCAGAGAATAATACGACTGCTGTCAGTCCCAGGTATTCAGCAGATTTGCAATATTTATGTCTTGGCGGGCCTCAATTTTCAAAAATGGATTTTAAATGACAAAGAACCGGAGCAACTATGTTGGTCATCCGATTTATCAAGGGTGGTTAAGGATGCATTTCAGCAACATTTGGGGCATTGGGATGTAAATGATTCTGAAGAAGTGGACGCGTGGATTTTAGACCTACAGCCGGACCGTGAAGGAGTTATAATGTTATGTGCTGCAGTTTATTTACCCATGTCACCTATGGTATGTATAATTAAACTCTAAATGATCATACTTTGCATAGACAAACAATTTTAGATCCACTATGCAATGATTTCTATCCCTACAAACGGCCCGACGGTTCCTACAGTACCAAATGACTTCTTTTTACTAAAAATTAATAATATGTACAAAGAAAACACCCCTGGCGATGCTTTGAATTACAGATTCATCCTCTGCGGGAATAATGCATATTTTTACACTGCCAAAAGTATAACAGTACTTAAACCAGAAGAAGAACTGGACGTTCTAGAGTTTCTTCATCCTTCGGATCAAATTTTTAGTAAGTCCCGCATCTGTAGCTAAAAATTACCATTAATATGTCCGTTCTCATCAGGTGGATGTACTTGCCTGAACGTTCCAATTTTCTTCTCTCGTCAACATGGTCTGGTTTCCGTAATTGCAAGCGATGCAGACCGATGCACGCTTGGAGCTTCTTCGTTAGTTTTGGATACTGGATCGGGTACGGATCAGTCATGTTCTGCCGGTGGTCAAAACCTGTCTCTCTATCAACTTGATCCGCACGAAATATACACAGCCCATCAGCAGACTGATGGTCAACTTAAAGCTGCTTTTATATTTCACGTGAAGAATCAACTGGTATGTATGTTTTTAAATATTTGACAGTAAATATTCAGCGGCCTATTTCCAGACTGAATGTTATGACATGGTTAATAAACTGTTTCCGACTGATGCACCAATCATACCGGGATTCGACGGTCCTTTAGATACCGTCGTAATAAAGATAGCGAAGGACATTTTGGACGACATTCCTGCTGGAGACCATAGATGGAATATTGAGGGGCATAGCACACAAGGTCTTGGCAGCTCAAATTCTATGCTCGTCTTCCACCAACTGAAGAACAAACAACGCGCATTTGCTTTATATTTAAAATTTCTGCAAGAATCTGGTTTATGGAATAAATTAACTGGCCTGACCATTCGATGTGGAATGACGACTACGATCCAAGTGCTTGGAGAATTAGCAGAAAAAAATACAGCCGCAATCATCATGAAAAGTTTGCCATTGGGCGTTGTACTGGAAGATAGTATTAAACGGGCAGTTAAAAATTACACTAAGGCTGAAAAATCTGTCTTATCAGAGCAAGACATATTCTTCAGAGAGGTTACAAGAATTCAAGAAGGGATTTTATGCTGTGCCGAAGTGTGCGAAAATGCATGTCATTCCGCAATGCAGCCGGAAGCAGTCGCCAGAACTTTGCATGAAGGCAATCAAATTATTCTTACAGTTTTAACCGAAACTCTACAATATCGACAGCAAACAGCGGAATCATTCCAATTAAATGATGTCGCTAAATCGATGAACCTGGAGTATCTTCCTTGGACTGCTGCAGGTGGACCGGAAGGGATAGTAGATGCACTGATGTTGCAGGTACGCACACGTTACTTTAAAATAGTCCAGTTTGCAAGTTCATTTTTTACACATTTTAGCAATCACTTACCCTGAATTACGGTCTGAAGGTAGATGTTCAACGAGAACTTACAGCAGTGCTTTTGGACGAATTTGTCATGCTTACTGATATTATCTTAGATGGGAGAAAAACTCACATTTCCACAGTAAAATCAGCGCAAGAGAAACCTTTATACAAGCAATACTGTTCTGACAGGAATAAACTCATAAAACCATTGAGTAAGTTGGAATATTACAATCGACAAGTCGAATGTTAATGATATAATTACGGTGTCTTTAGTTGCGATAAAGGCTTATCAAAAGGCTGCAATACTAGCAGAAAAGTACCTTGATTTTGAGGTTTTAATGAATATTTGTGATGAAAATAAAGATGAAGACCGATTGAATGAATATATGCGAAGATTTAAGGATACCTCATTCCCGGAGTATGTTTACAATTGGTATTTGAGAGAAGGAAAGCATGCCAGGTTACTAAACAGGTATACGTCCTTTGTTTAGGCTAATTGTTTTTAACTAGTTTCAAGTACACTTTTTCACTCAAAATTTTGTTTAAAGTTCAACGGTTTTACTTCGAAGTTAACGTTTGTTTTATTGCAGGTATCGTAAAATAGGAGACTGTCTTCCCGAAGGACGAGAGAAACTTGCCCGGTTTCTATCAGCTTATCCAACCCTTAGCTGGATGCAACAGATTTATGATAGGGATTTCAGTTCAGCCTCTGAAACCTTAAGGATCTTGGCAGAAAATGAAACTGAATTAGTCACCAGACAGAAAGCCATGTATAGTTTAAGCAAATTAGCTAAGCTCGCAGGTTGAGTCTAGTTCAATTTGTCAAAACTTGTGAATAAGAAAGTGTATTTTTCCAGCGCCTCTCGCAAGTGATACATCAGATCTCATTGCGGAAGTTAACAAACGTCTGGAGCTTATATCCTACCAAGAAGGCATTCCAGATTACGTTCTACAACAGCACGGATTCGATTGCAAAAATCCGAAAGTATTCAAACCAAGGGAATTGATTGCTTTATACATCAGCGAAGAATACGTTGACTCCTCAGAAATCGATTTCCAGAAAGCTTTAGATGTTGCTGCTTTCGTCGACGACGAATCAGAAAGAGTAGAGATAGTATTGCAAGTAAGTTTCATTGTCATCATCGTCTTATGAAAGGACGAACTAAAACATATGAGGCAAAAGTATCGAAAATGGGACTCCCGGTACAATGGGAATTAAACTTGGGTTCAGCCCGAATCTAAGCTCAGTCTGAGTTTAGCAGCCGGGCGATCTTGCGTTGTACAAGTCAAATGGATCAATATGGAACGAATTTCGTACGAATTACAGTTAAAACTGCGTGGAACTTCACCGAAAAAAACTTGAGAAATAAATTTCAATTATAAGACTTAATAAACTATTGCTTTGGGGGCATTCTGATATGCCAAATTAACTTCTGGACGATCTACACTTGTCTGCTAAAGTTAGAAGACTATTTAATTCTCTTTAAATTTTGCCCCCTAAATAAAAGCCCGTGCACGTACTAAGTGTGCACAATTGCCAGCTGAAAACAATAAAATTATTGGAATTGAAAGATGCTAATACGTAAGATTTCTAGGTTCCAAGTGCACTTGGAAGGAAAATATTGGAAGATATGATCACACTCTTTGAAGTAAATTATTGTTAGAGTTGGACTAATTTTCAGTAAAAATACTTTTTAACTTGTTGATTCTGGTCAGTTGGGTTCCTCTTGCTAAGTTGAGAAACGCAAAAAAATCGTGCAGTTTAAAGGGTATTTGAATTTGTGATTTTTGAGGTTTAACGGATTAAAGACCGCTAATGAGGGCGAATGCGATTATACATTTTTAAAATGTATGCCAAGGCTTAAAGCAGCAACAACGCTACACATAAAAACTGATGATGGTGGAAAAATACACCGAAACGTATTTTAATTGATAAATAGAGACAATAAATGACTGAAACCCAGGAATTAATTTTGATTTGGAATTGGCATTACATAAATCTGTACTTTCCTAGTTAAAATACGGAATAATGGTGTTTGTTACAGATTTGGAGAGCAGCTTTGTTGAGGGACAGCTGGAGCTTTCATAACTTGGATGATCCTATTGAATGTTTACAAAATACTATGTTCTTCAGGGTAGTGGATCTGGCTATAGCGCTGAATTATAATCCGAGCAAGCTACTGCCGCCAATCGATATGTTATTGGATGATCGAGTTTTAGACACTCTTAAGCGGAATGTGAATTTTGAGTTGCTTTTAAAAATGGGCTATGAACATTTTTATCGGACCCAACTATTATAATTTTTTTGTTTTTTTTTGTTACGCGCCACCCAACTTCGGTAGGATCATTCGGTGTCTATTAGAACCATTTGTTTATTAGAACCAAGGCAGATAACGATGATAAGACTTAGATGGAACTTTCTACTTAATCAATAACCGGGCTAAATTGTGTTTTTATAGTAATTAATTGGCTTTTACATAACGTTCGAATTTTTATATTTCTTTAACAAATAAAAGCATATTTAGGAATGTTTTCCGGGCTTTGAAGCCGTGGTCTATGGGAATTTCTTCCTGACGTTTCGTCCACAACTGCGGTGGACATTTTCAAAGACGATGAGGCAGTGGGCGAAGTGATCTCCCGTGCTGTCCGACTAAGACTGAAGACTAAATTCCCATAGACCACGGCTTCAAAGCCCGGAAAACATTCCTAAATGTGATTTAACCGGCCGTGAAAGCCTTCATAGCCCGATAAATAAAAGCATTCTTTATATTGTTGTTTCCTTTAATCCAGCCCTTTTGATAGTGCATTTGTATAATACGTTTTGTGTCATCATGCGTTGTTGAATGATTTTGAATGAAAAACATTTTTTCGAGGGCAGAGGCCACTTATTGTCTGCTTTCGAACATTGTGACGCAGTTTAAATGTATTCGTCTCAACCAGTTTTGATTTGTTGCTGATATTAACCCAAATTAAAATAGTTTAAATATTCCGCAATTATCAAGAAAAAATGATATGCCACAAGCTGGATCCACATCAGGTAATCGAACAAGCTAATTTTCCTAATAAGTATTAATTATTCTAAAGAATTGTGTAATGTTATGCATTTGGGAGTGCGGCCATGTATTGCTATATGCGATACTGCAAGTGGGCCGCCGCATAATGAACAGAGGAGTGAAATCAATGAAGTAAAAATAAGTTTTCTTAATAAAGAGAAGTCTTTGTTTTTGGGGAAAACTGATTAGACATTTTTCAAAAATGCTGCGCATAAAAGAAAACCAAAATAAAGCATATTATGCTTACCCCTCTACTTAATGAAATCATTGCGCACTTGAATATTCGGTTGTGAAACGGTGACTCGTAAGGTTTCCTGGGATAATTTTATTTATATGGTTGCTTGTTTCGATCCAACGCTCAACTTGTGGTTCCCAAACGTTCGGTCGCAATTTACACTTAATTAATTCGACAGTTAGTGGTGGTTTTGCGGAAAAGGGGTGGTTTCGCGCAAAAGGAATCTGCGTGAACAGGTTTGAAATAACCTTAGATTTGCCGGTTTTTGACCTGTCATCCTATTTAAAGATCAGCTGATGCACTTTTTGTTTACAACGAATGAGACGCTTTGGTTGCATCTACAGCTTACTCAAAGTCAAATTGCTGCTTTATCTCAGATCTAGCAACGAAAATGATGATTAACAAACGGAGATTGGTGCAGTTGGTTCCCTAGTGTTCAAGACATAAACATTGTGAAAAACAGTTTTAGGTTAGATTTGTGTTGTGCCCTGAGTCTCAGAACGTGAAATGTTGTGCAGAAAGAAAGTTTACAGGGACGAGCTCTTTCAGCTCGCTCTCATAATTAGTTTGCTCAGAGTTAATCGCAACGCGGTGTTTGACAATGATATTCTGAATGGTGTTAATGATGTTGATAATGGGACTACTTGGAGGAGCGCCTTATCTCCTACAGTGCTCAGAAGTCACTACGTAAATCCCAAAAGTTTGGACTCAGTATTGCTTAATTACGAGAGAGATCTATTCGCAGACTTAAATTCACTAGGGCGTTACAATCGGTGGAACTTTCGGTATCCTGATGTTCATACCTACTTATTGAACATTGATCGCAGTGCTGTTGGTGTTTCACTAAACAATGACGAGGGTTTACCTTCTAGTGCTCAAAATTCTACAGATAGTGATATTTCTAATGTTCTCACACCTCCGCCTGAACCCAATGGTCCTGAGCTCAGCCAAGAGGTACGTGATAAAACTTGGTCTATGTTTAAACCATACTATCTAACTTTGTTTGCTAAACCATCACTGATGAATATGTACAGGGTGTCATGTCATGTGTAAGGTCAGACTTAAAAAAACATTGAAATTTGAAAATTTCCAGGGGAAAATCAAAAAAAATTTAGTTCCAAAATTTGCTTGGTTCAAAGAGATACAGACAAATGTTATTTTTAATGATTGTTGAATGATCTGCCGTTCTCAGAATAAGTATACGGGCTCAGGTAAACAAGTTATTGGACCTGAACCCATTTTTTTTAATTCGAACACCCTTTAATCTAAAAAGACTTGCGAGCATTTTGAATCATCTTTTCAATAATATAACAGCACGGATAATATTGGTTTACACACGCTGATATCCGAGCAACTAGAAGCAAAATCTTTTTAGCACGAAATGTATTTTTAGATGAAAATATACAGGATGTTCGATTTAACAAAATGCGTTTAGGTCCGATAACTTTTTTACCTGACCCCGTATAGTTCTGCTGAAAACGGCAGATTATTGAACAATCATTATGAAAAAACGTTTACATAAAACATTTATCTGTATCTCCTTTAACTGAGAAACAGGGAGTCATTTTTAAATTAACAATTCTGTGACTGAACAAAATTTTGCAAATTGATTTTCCATTTCAGTTTGATCTATTCAGTATTCTACTTTTTCATACTATAAAAGTGTCGGAAAATCGACTGTATTGTACTATTTGTCTGCGAATATTACACAGAATCTCGTTTTTCTCAGGCCAATTGAAACTGTTGCTCCAAGTCTCCAAGTTAACTTTCTCTGCAGTTCTATGCTCTTAAGCCGGTATTATACTATGCACTTTTCTTCGATTTATTGCAAAAAAGTGGTGCAATTTCAGAAAAAACATAAATTTCAATACTTCAGTTTCGTTGACACAGATCTTCACCATCTGAGACACAATAAAAAGAAAAAATATCCCAAAGCGTACTTAATTCCTATAATTAACTTTTCTTGAAATATGAAAAATTAAAATCGCTTATAATCCTTGAACGGAGAACGCGAGCATTTTTTTATTTGCAAGTTAACTCTCTGCAAGTGAAAAACACCCAACTAGACACACCATGTTTCTCTCACTCTGTATATCACAATTGCAAAGGAAGTTTTTTCGAAACGCTTTAGCCTTGCGATGTATAATTACTTGAATCGTGTGTTCACAATACAAAGTTCAAAAATTGCATTTTAAACGAATTTTCAACCATTTATGCACAGTTCATAGCCGGACTCATTGTAATCAGTAAGTAGGAAAGGAGATATGCGTTATTTTTTACCATTTACTGCAATTTAACAGCTCTACGTCTACTGTAAGTTGGTAGTGACTTCCAAAGTGCCCTACTGTGATGTTTCATTCTAATGTGCGCTGTAGACCTTACCAACAGAGTGAGAAGTTGATTTAGCCATTGTTCTGATTAGAGCGACGATATTTCTCTTTTTGGCAGACCTTTCTACATTATCCACGTTTAAAACCAGGATTGTGCCACTGACCCAAACCTATAGGTGTAAAGGCACGATGTTGGCATAGGACCAGAAAGAAATTAAATAAATTTAGATTTTTCTCTGAAGTACGCCCGTCAAAACAAAAATATGATCAATTTTCCATTAACGTCCTCAAGCTAACCACGCACTAACACTTTTTATTTGGGTATTTTACCTCAAACCAGACGAATTGGTAATGAGTGCACGTTTGATATAAAGAACTAAATTCTTATCAAAACGTAATATAGAATCACTTAGTGCGACTCCTACGACATCTTTGGGGCTCAAATGTGTCGTAGGATCCACAATAGGTAATAGTTTATATATTACATTTTGATAATAAATTCGTTCTTTATATAAAACGGGCAATCAAAGAAAGAGAGGAAATTCGATCTTTCCAAAATCCTATTTCCAAAACCGCGAATAATTGGAGCCGCTTCACCCATACAGAACTTATCTAAAAAACCGCTTCAGCCCATCTCAGTTTTTAATTCTTCAGACTGAAAATCAAATTCACCTTGATCAAGTGGTTCGATCAGTTTTAGATCGAAAAAATTCAAAATCCATTCTTTAGAATCCACCAAAAATGGATATCTATCACGCACAGGTTTGTGGCTGAACATATGGTCGCTTATTTTTTCAACTCTGCCAATGGCAAAAATGCAATTTGTGTTCATTTTGAATTAATGGGTGTCCCACTGCAGTGAAGTGAACAAGAATGTATTTTTAAACGATTTCAAGCACAAAAACAACCTCGTTTTTCAAAAATAAATGCAATTCGGATTTATAGGCCCCTCTGTGGCCTCGATTATTATTTTTTCATGCTAAATACTCAGATAAATCGGTCGATCTGAATGCGTACTGCGTTTGGCAATACTTAAGTCGCAACTCATTATCAAGATTATCTGGTTTTAAAGTTTTCCTTTGTTTCGTTGATATCGATTGCCATTCCCATTTTAGATTTTTCCGGTGAAAAAATCAAACTTATGTTGAATCTCTGATTTGCTCAGTATTAACTTATGCGTAGCACCATATTTTTCCCACTAAATCCTTAAAAAAATTGTTTCAAACTATGATCTTATCTAAACCTATCCACTTCACTCATGGTTTTTCCTTTGTTAACAAGGCTTTGTCATTGACTCTTAAACTGAAGTGTTGTCCTCGCTCAGAAAGGAAACTGAACTCAATGTTTGAACCTTTTTAGCAGTTGCATCTTCAGAGGTGGTTCCTGGGCGTAGCAGCCACCTTTGAAGATGCGGGACATTCGTGCTTGCGAAACATCAGGAAGAAATTTGATTTGACCACGAAACTGAAAAACTCTCCAGTTTCCATATCCACCCTGGATAATAAAATAATGACCCGAAGGTAACTGAGTCACCTTCAAATGATCTCATCTTCAAGGTGCTGACTCCATGTTCAGATACACCTCGACCGATAATTTCATTATTCCGGTTCAATTACCTAGACGACAAAAGAACATGATTGTTCTTGAGTTGCCAATTGTATGCTGTGGAAAATCGAAAACGTTTGCATTTTGTGCAAAGGTCTCGTCCATATTGCCTGTCCAGCATATTACTATCGCAACCTTATCTGCTTTGTGTTTCGCAAACAGGTTAAATAGCAAAACAAATCAAATACGAATTCCAAAACATTTTTTTTGGTATTTTTTATTCCATCGCCATTCACTAATAAGCACATTAACCTGGCCCACAGTATATTTGGCATAGGTCAAACTACTATCCCTGTTTACCTGTATGGAAATGGTTTTTTTTTTTTCATTTACGTATTAGACGGTTAGTTAACAATGGATTTTCGTATGTGTTTCTAAATTTAAACTAGCAAAGCTGTTATAATGGCGTTAAATTAAATTAATTAGCATATTTGTTAATTGTGTGGATTTTATAACCGTTCTTAACATTTCACCAAATTATCAATTGTTCAAAGTTGTCAACAACCACACTTCCTTCTCGCAATCGTATGTATATCATAGAATTTTACCTAAAAAGTGCATATTGAGGTTTGGGTTCTGATCAAAATCGACTGTTTTGTATGTCATGTATTTGCCTAAGTAGATAATGTACACTTGAACCGTTTTATTTATTATTTGTTTTTGATAAGAAAATATTAGTGGCTCTTTGCAACATAAAAATGCTAAACTTTATACGACATGATTAATAACGCTATTGGGAAATCATTGGTATTGAGCAGAATTATAAAAAAATATGGTTTCGAGGAATTGCTGTATTTTTTCGAGACGAATTGAGTGGGTATTAAGGTCGAGCAAAACACTAGTTTGATGAACCTGTGTGAGGCTGTTGAATTTTTCAATTTATTTTTAACGTAAAATTCAGCCCGTTCGATGTGCAAGTAGTGCATTGCTCATGTATTTTCTACGCTTGTTGCACATGACATGCTGGCTTAATTAAATATTTAGGTAGACCATGAACCGATTACTAATATGCGCTAAAATTGAGATTTTGGGAACAAAGGAAACATTTCACCTGATATCTGTGCGGTGGTTTGTTATTTGCCATCCCGATATATTACTCCAAATTGCCTCACAAAATTATTGCTGCTTAATAATAGTGGGTTGCGATTCTTTATATGGTCGGATGATTATTCGAAATTCGGGTCAATAATTCTCATTTATTTACTCATACTGAGATCTTTAAAGTCCGAGCACATCCTACATACATTTTAATTGATTCATGATGGCTGTGGAAACCTCTAAAAGTTTCTGGCAAGGAACATTTCGTAGTTTCCAAGTTCGAATTTCGCGAACAAAAACCTCATATAACACTTTTGCCCGCTAAAATGTTTGCTTGGAAATTGAAAGTTTTCTGAATATTTCCGCCCGTAGATATTTTGAGAACCTTTGCCATTCGGGCATTTTTCAACGAACGTTCATCCATAACCGGCCTGTGGAAAGCGCGTCTGAACGTTCAAAATAATTTATTGCCCTGAAAACTGGAGGCCAATTGATTGAATTAATGATCGAGAAACACAGAAAACTGACCTACACAAACTGTTCTATTTTTTAACAGAAATAATGGATTTCTAGATAGTTCAAGTTCAAGAAATGAAATGAAAACAAGCAGTCCAAAAATAAGATCTTGACTAAGTGAACAAAGGAAGCTCAACACACGGTTTGGTTTACCGATAAATCTCAAGTTAAAAATAATATTTAAATCGGAAATGTAAAATGCGATGTGAATATTGCACAGGCGAAAAAAATTTTAAACTATAAGTTAAACCAATGCGACCTATTTTTCTACGCTGTTTCAAGATACGAAGAGCTTGAATGGGCAATATCTGAATGCGGAGTAGAGTTATCGATAGAGGAATCTTCATTTTATATCTGGTGTGAAGTTTGGTTCCCTGTAGAAACAGGGGCTCTCAGAACAAATTTATGAACTTTGAACATTTTTGGGACGGGTTTTCATCTGCGCACCATGTTATTAATAAGCGT